AAAGTGTCACCTTAAAAACTAAATATTTTACAAGAGAAATACCTTACCAATCGTCGTTGTTCCACCAGCAACCGCAGCTTGAGTTCCGGCGAAGAAGCCTTCTGCGCTGGAATCATCTCCTTGAGCATGCTGGAGGTGCGTATGTGGATCGACACCCCCTCAAAATCATTCACATTACTCATCTGCCTTACAAGCGCCAAGACATCATTTATTACCAGGCATGACATACTTTCCCTCAGCGATGATGACATGTGCTCCGTCTGATTCAATGTCGGGTTCAACTTGCCTGAAAAGTTCACTTTGGTTAGATCAATCGACATATTCATAAGTGTCTCACTTGATTTTTCCACCTCGAATCAGTACATCCGCCCGAACCACCAAATCGCAGTTTACTACCGTTCCTCCTTTGATCAAAATAACGTTTCTGTCATCCTAAAAACAGAACAGCGCTTAGTTTACCCTGCTTTCTATAACAAAGCAACCAAGACATTCAGTTCATACGATTCTAATCAACTGCATGTGCAAAATTGTGAATTCCCTAATTATGCTAATGGCCAATGGAAGTTTCCTTACAAACAATATGAACACAATATGTTACTTCGGCTATCCATAGAGACAAAAATCCGCAAGTAAATATCCTCCATCAGAATAGCCTTTTTACAACAATAAGTATAAGATCTTCATATTTCGTACGGGACTGCTTTCCATATACAAGTTATTCCATAAATTATCAACAGAGAGCCACACTAGGCTGATCATCAGGGTACAATAAAAAAGGATCCCGTAATAATAAAATTATAATGCGACAATAGATCCGCAGTTGTTCAACGCTGCATCGTCAAAAAAGAAATGTATTGGCAGCGCAATCTGTGCCGAATAGAACTTCAGATTTCGAAGCAGCAAAGAAGCTCTGATCATCGAGGCCATTAGGTGTTTCAATATGAGAGGATATGAGCAATATCTGGAAGTCAGGGGCTAATAAAATACTGTCAACATTAATTCCTGTTCAGCCCCTCGTCGACCCGAGTTTTACCTCAACAGTGTTACTTTTATCAAACCTGTCTTTGTATTGAATACTTTGACAATCGAATATGTTTGAAACGTCAGTAATTTATGTAATAAATTCTACATGCGGAGCAATTCCGTAAGAATCATGAAGACCACAGGAATTCCGCATAAAAGGAGAATATTCACTTTTCAAGTTTAACAATAAGTAATGCATAATCAGAATATGACATATTTCTCTCATCTGGAAGACACCTACCTAATTACATCATAGTCTAAAACAGCTAACACTTTCATATTCTGAATATTATAGAATTAGTTTTGCATCAAAGTCAATTTCTTCTCTGATTCCACTCAAATACACTAAACATGCTAGCTACTACTGTACGTCTTCTTATATCATACGAAACACCTATGCAATGCAAAGAGGTATAACTTTAGAAATACCGGTGAACGATCCAGATTCCGCTCTGTTCAGCAGAGTAGCATAATATTTATCAACACATAGTGGCATTATATGACTATTTTTATAAATTTATTTCCCTCTGTTCACTATTCAACTCTAAATAACGTAGTTATCATGGTGAAGCGTCGATGCAAGTTCAAAATTTACGCGGGAAACTCCATTATTTGAAAAAGATCGTCCTCGTGATTATAACGATTTTATAACTCTCAGATATCTTCTACTCAGCTTAAAATTTAAAAGAATGTATTAAAATGATCAAAAAACTACATTTATGCATAAAACAAAAGTTTTACCGGTAAATCAGACATCGTTTCAAGTGTACAAAACATGCAGTTAATCCGGTAGAAAAACGATTTGCAGGATCAATTTGTAATTTAAATTGTACTTTCTAAC